TGTTTAATGAATTTTATCAAGGGGAAAGATGTTATTATCCTTCTTCCTATGGGATTTGGCGCATTACATACATCACGACCAAATAGCAGCAATTGGTTAAATAAAAAAAGAGCAAACTAATCCTTTTGCTGTGAGGGCAGACGGTTTTCACCAAGTGAAACCAACTGATGAATCAGGCTAACATTAAACAGCTGTATTTTATATATATGTAATTACAGCTGTTTTTTTTTTTTTTCAATCCCAAAATACATCAAAAAGTTATACAGTGCACCTTTTCAGTATAAGTTGTTTGAGTCGAAGTATTGCACAATTAAGAATGAGCTGTAAATGATTTTGTTTAGACACTGTTACTGTTCTTGTTTTTTTGTTTGTGTTCTCTCCACATGCAAATTTCCAGTTTACTCATTATGTGCACCTGATATTCAAATGTGTGTACCTTCATAGCAGTTATTATATCATATTTTTGGCTCGTGTCTAACTTCGTGTCAAGCTCTGTTATCCAGCGATTAAAGGAGCAGTGGTGTCATGATACAGAAATTTCAAGCTCAGTTTTATACAAGTCTATGTGCTCTTCTACTTGTTCTGATACAGATAACATCATTTTAAAGCTGTTTAGGAAAGGTTCACTTCTGTCCTGTCAATGCGACGTTTTATATTGATACCGGCTCAAATGAGTATCTACTCACAATACTAGTTTTAGTATCGATTCATATGTGATTTTCAATACTTTTGTCAATCCTAGCACCTTTAACTGAAAACATTCACTATGTAACATCTCAAGCCTATTCACACAGCAGTCTTTTTTCGACTAGTATCACCTCAGGAGCTCTGAGTTTAGGGGGAATTTTACAGTTTTTCACTAGCGATTTGCAAAATATCAAAATATTGTTATATCGTATTTAATGTACAGTATCGATATCGTGGGCTGTTGTATCGATATATCTACAAGAGTATTTTTTGGTATAGTTTACTAAATTATTTTGTGACAGCTACAGTTTTGTTGCTTGTTTAGTGGAAGGAAACTTGTTTATGTGACACATTTGATATTTTCACTGTTTTGATGATTAAAATGTTTGTGTTTCATATGAACTTTGCAAAAGAAGTGGTTTAACAAAGACTTTTAGTGTCGCAGCATTGTGTCATATCGAATTGGATGCGCACTGTATTTAGATATGTATCGTATTGTGGCCTATGTATCAAGGTACATATCATATCGGTAACTTCTTAATGATCCCCAGCCCTATTTTTGACATCTGTAAGGACACGGACGATTCGCACAGGACTAGAAACACAGATGATGCTCATAATTATTACAGGTTACCAAGGGGCCATATAAAACTAATTCTGTGCCAGTCCAATGAGGTTCATTTGGTCTTCCCATAATTCATGTTCTTCATGTTCTTTGGTGCTTTTTTCAGACAGTGTTTGTTTTCATACCTGTCAGTTTGGACTGTGGAAGCATGGAAATGTTATTGCTTTGTCTGGAATGTTTCACAGTATGGCATTAAATCTTTCTATATTCATGGAAACCAAACCTGACAAATTGCAAATCAGATCTGTGGAGAGGTGACCCTGCTCACAGTCAGAATGCCTGTTTTTGTTTTTTAGGTGTTTTTGAGCTCTAAAACCTCATGTTTTATTAAATGTCATACTGTAGAAAATACCAGGCAGAGCAATGACATAAAAACTAGAAAAGTTACACAATTTAAGTAACACTTAATACAAAATGTTCTGCTGTGGTGAAAGCAAGTGACCCAAATGGTGATGTAAGTTCAGTTCTTGCTCTGGCTTGTTTTAAAACTTAGCCCCGGCTCCTGTTTACGCGAGTGGAGCTCATTAAAGGCCAAACGTCACTCACGCATATCTGATCCTGTGTGGAACATATCTGAGTGACAGTTAAGACGTCCCTTTTATGCAAATGAGCCATGTGTTTATTAAGGAGAACCAGTGGAGCTTCTTTTAACTCTGCAGACGGTAAATGTGGCTACAGAAAGTAGTATTTTAGCAGCCCACTAGTTTCTATTGTACTTTTAGATTGACCCAGATAAAGGCAGAAATCTGGTGACTGAACACTTACATTAGAGACACTCATATGGGTTATGCCGATACCAATACTGTTTAGAATTCAGAGCAACCCATGACCAATAAGATCTGCTGATGTGCACATTTTTATTACTTTCCTCAAATTCTGTTCTAATTTACTGCAAAGTCCCCACAGCCAATTTATGTTATGCCACGTTTTATATCCACCTAGCATTTGTTCATTACAGGTGTTTCTGTTGCTCAAAAATTCCACAGTTCCTTCTGTGAACAGGGGCGACTCTCCACAGATCTGAACTGTAATGTAGCGTCGCGCTGTGACAAGCAGGTGATGGACCCTCAGCCAGAAATATTACACAGTACACCTTTAAAGGGTTCAAATAAAGGTTAAGGTTTATGCATAGACTTTAGACAGCAGGTTGGACAGAACTAAACATTTTAGACTGATCTTTGCACTTTTTATCTTTGGCTTCTAGTCAGAGAATATTATGATTTTTTTAGTTGATGACCAGTCAAACAGTTATTTCCATTATAAAGTGAGGCTTTTTAAGTGCTGTGTCGACCAAATTAAGGGTAAATTATGGTGACTGAGGGCCTCTAAATACAGAATATTTGCAAATAAAGTGAAATATTGGTGAATATCAGAAATGGAAGAATGCAGCTGTTTGTGTTTTGCAAAGGTTTTGTCTTTTGTGTTTACAGTGTAGAGTCCAGATGACAATGAGATGATCAAACTACAACTATGATTATCTGTTATATTTTACTATGGCTGCTTTCTGTTACATGCAACAGTTTGAGCACTTTTACCTATTCAAAAGATGGAATATTTAGTTAGACACTGTTAATCGCTATGGCAACTGGTCCTATTTTTTTTCACCATTCTGAGACCCATGGATATTCTAAACAACTTTTAACAATGATCAAAATTTGGTGTATAAAATATAATAACAACTAGTCATGATTCCATTCATGAAATTCATGATGCCTTATTTTGTCTAACTTTGTGGTTTTTTTTCAAAGACAAAAGGGTGCGTGTGTGTCACCTTCCTCACAGTCATCCGGTCACTGACGCATCACTGATCTCATCTGCTCACTTGTGGCTTTTTGTTTTGACTAGTTAGTCCTGACTTAGTCCTGACTTGATTAGTCCTGATTATTCAGATTCATTGTTGCAGCCTTTATGGTGACTACTTTGAGATAAACTGACTAAAAGACCAATATTCATAATAAACATTTTTATTATGAATGAGTAAAGATGACACCATTTGCTAATCCTGTAGTTTAGAGCTCTACAAACATGTTCTGAAATGTCTGTGTCAGATGCCCTCCCTGTGTCTCCATGGGGTCTTATTCTGTGCTAAAGCTGCTAACCCTGTAGTTTAGAGCTCTGCAAACATGTTCTGAAATGCATGGGGTTGTATTAAGTTTATCAGTCTGTTTTTCATTTTAAGTCTTATCCGAACCCTTATCTAAAAATCACAATTGTATCTGTAACTGCTTGAGACCTGTCTCCACTTCACTGTGAATGGAGCGCTCTATAAATATCCCTGTTGTTCGTACACAGCTCTCCTGACTCACCGCTCAGAGCAGGTACAGGGAGGAGGGGGAGGAAGGGAGGAGGGGGCCATATCCACCCAAAGAATAAAACTACACTTTTATATCATTTCAACCAACATAATGGGAGCATCTTTTAGCAGCCTTCAGATATTTTGTTCAAGTGTCTCTTCATGGAATTTCGTGGCTGAGGTTCAAGGTGGGTTGCGTGATGTAGCAATATTAGTAGGAGAAGTATTTTTTTCTCATTTTCAATTAAGTGTTATATTTTGAATAAAATAAAAAGAATTTTAATGTAAGAAATACAGACTCTTCCTGGTCAGCACCAAAAGCACTGTAACAAAAATCCCCCCACTTCAGCAAGAAAAATGTGCCCATGATAAATATGGAGGCCAGAATATATTGTTCCAGTAATTATCAGAGGTGTTAGATGAAAATGTATTCATTGATACATCGTGATACGTCATTGTTTGATTCTCACATCGATTCAAAAAGTGTTCACATTTTTTTTAAGGTAATTTTTAAGGTTTATTTAATGTTCTCATCATTTAAAAAAAATATTGTATTTCATCGAATTTTGTTCTCGTGCAGGTGTACTCGTCCATAATATTATCAGTAATTATTGATAAATCACAATGTATCTGCCTTTTAGTATTGGGATATATCAGTACTAGGGCTGGGTATCATTAAGAAGTTGCCGATACGATACATACCTCGATACATAGGCCACGATACGATACATATCTCGATACAGTGCACTTTCGTTTCGATATGATATATTTTAAATTGATTCGATATGGTTCAATAAAAAATAAAGTCTAAATCATGGCTGTGATGCTAAAAGTCTTTCTTAAACCACTTCTTGTGCAAAGTTCATATGAAACACAAACATTTTAATCATCAAAACAGTAAAAATATCAAATGTGACACATAAATGAGCTTCTTTTCACTCCACAAGCAACAAAACTGTAGCTCTGTAACAAAATAATTTAGTAAAACACACCTAAAAATACTCTTGGTGATATATCGATACAGTAGCCCACGATATCGATACTGTATCATCACATTAAACGATACGATATATCGATATTCCGATATTTTTGCACACCTCTAATCAATACCGATATATTGAATCGTGACATATCATATCGCCAGATTCATGGCAATGCCCGCCCCGAGTAATTATCATGATAGGTCTAATAATAAACAAATAATCTACTCTTACAGATTGATTCATATATTTTGGTCACAGGTATTTTCAGACATTCATCATATGACTTATCCCTTTGTCATAGCATCATCTAGAAACCAGTTCACATTCATAAACAAATAATCTACGCTTGCATCTTTTTTCCTTGCGTATTGTTTATTCTCATCCCTCTCTCTCTGTCTCTCTGTCTCCACAGCACTCGTCCGCTCACAGTAATGGGCGCACAGAGGGGGGCTCGCGCTCTTCCAGGGCGGGGGTCAGAACTCGCGGCTCAGACGATCCTCAGCCCCCTCACGTCGGAAACTACAGACTCCTCAAAACCATCGGGAAAGGAAACTTCGCCAAAGTCAAATTGGCCCGGCACATACTCACAGGCAGAGAGGTGAGAGCCACTAACCACGAGGCGCGCGGTTCAGCTCAATACTGTCAATACTGTCAGCACTGTCTCCTGTAATTCAACATGTAGTGAAGAGACTGGGTTGCCATCATAGACTGTGTGTATATAAACAGACATAACTCACCTGCTAGTTGTCATGTTTCAGATAGGAAGTTTTCATGGGTGCACTTCTGGCTAGGCCTGTAACGATAACAGATTTTGCTGACCGATTAATTAACCAAGAATTTATTGCGATAAACGATAATATTGACATTTTGAGACCAATTTCAGCTAATATAATGACCATGGAATAAAAATGCAAACACACCCTTTCAAAGATCAATAAACCTTACTTTCTAAAGACCATTTAACACCAGAACGGCAAGACAACCAAAAACAACAGGCCTAAATAAAACAGACTTGTTAACGTAGAATAGCCTAATGTAGTCTGGTTTACAGCGAGGACTTGTTAACAAAAAGGCACTTGAATAAACCATTGCTGAACCAAATACAACCAAAGCAATAAATAAAATGGATTATTAAGTCTCTGTAACAAAATCGTCCTTAAACGTGTGGTATATTGTGTCTCTCTGTGGCTGCTGCTGCGGCCTTGTCATTTTGGTCATTTAAATGTTCGTATGAACCCGCGACACAGGATGTTATTTCACTATCAAGGAGCCATTGTCCTGTCTGTATCGTGTTGGTGTCTTGTCTTTCAGTGGATTTCGGGCTCTCCCAGGGGCGGGGCTAGTTCTGTTACTCGGGTTTGGGTTTATGTCAGCTGGTGGGGTTTGAGACATTTCTTCTCGTCGCTTGCTGCATTAGACGCACGTGACTGTTGAGACCTGTTCCGCTCACCAGTGCTGATTCGGCATCGTGACTTCTTTTGGCACACGGCGATGAACTCTTTTGGTTCTGACGGCGGCGCTACCTTGTGTTGCAGCTTCATGTTCACTGCACAGACAGCGACGCTTTTTGCACTCAGACTATGCGCGCATCCACGTTGGTTCAATCGTCATTACACTTGTTAAACGAGAAGAGTCAGAGAGCGATAGAAACCTTCTAACATTCAGTCTCTTTGAGAGCGAGAGAGACGAGGAAAACAAACAAGCAAATAGAATTTATCGCCCCCGGAAAAGTTATCAAGCTTGTTAAACTTTATCGTACAATTAATTGATTTATTATTGTTACAGGCCTTCTTCTGGCTCCATCGACTGTGACTTTGAACATTGAAAAATTGTGGCCCCTCTCTCTGTAACTGCTGCTGTGAGCCTCGTCATTTTGATCTTAAAATCTCCTGGGGGTATTTTGTTAATAAATTCCTATTCTTAGTTTTGATCTCTGCTCCAAATTGACCCCTGTAACTGCTAGCCTCGTGAGCCATCCAGTTTGGACCTATTTAGTTTTCTGGTGCTAGTTTCTCTATTGGGTGTTGATCGTTTTGGACATCCCTCACACGGAGTTATTGTCAAAGCTACATTTTCAAATCTTAAGTGAGCAGGTTTGCAGAGCCCAGAGATCCTGTATGTTTCCTTTTCCAGCCCCTCAGCTTGTGTGTGTCCATGTTCTGACTGTCACACTGCTCTTCACAGGTGGCCATTAAGATCATAGACAAGACCCAGCTCAACCCCAACAGCCTTCAAAAGGTACTGTGAATACTACTATTACTGCTGCTTTTACTGCTGCTGCTGAATATGTTTGGAACTCCATATTTTTGGTTTGTGTTTTGTCTTTCTTTGCACCAGGACAGGGACTGAAAATGGCATTTAAGAGCCAGTGTCATTATCTGTGAATCTCTAATCATAAAGTGTGTTACCAACCCATATTATCCATCTGCTGTTTTGGTCCAGTCAAGATGTTTTAGCACAAAACTCCTAAAAGTCTTGAATGATACGATTCAGCGACTTATGCTGCTCTGGTGCTGGCCTTAGACCTGACCTTTAGTCATGGATTAGTCCCATCCTAGTCCTAGGCTTTTCCTGATGTACTCCTGGTGTAGTTTTGGTGTAGTCCTAGTCTAGTTCCGTCTTAGTTCTGGTTTAAATCCTGGCCTAGTCCTGGTCTAATTTATCTTAGTTCTGGTTTAAATCCTGTTGCAAGTCTTGGTCTAGTCTTGGTCTAGTCCTGGTCTGGTCTTGGTCTACTGGCTTAGTCCTGGCTTAGTCCTGGCTTAGTCCTGGCTTTAGTCCTGGCTTTAGTCCTGGCTTAGTCCTGGCTTAGTCCTGGCTTAGTCCTGGCTTAGTCCTGGCTTAGTCCTGGTCCATCCCTGGTCTACTCCTGGTTTAGTCCTGGTCTAGTTCTGGTCTAATTCTGTTTTAGCCCTGTCTTAGTCCTGGTTTAGCCCTGGTTTAGCCCTGGTTTAGCCCTGGTTTAGCCCTTGTTTAGTCCTGGCTTAGTCCTGGCTTAGTCCTGGCTTAGTCCTGGCTTAGTCCTGGTCCAGCCCTGGTCCACTTCTGGTCCACTCCTGGTCTAGTCCTGGTCTAGTCCTGATCTAGTCCTGGTTTAGTCCTGGTTTAATTCTGTTTTAGTCCTGGTTTAGTCCTGGCTTAGTCCTGGTCTACTCCTGGTCTACTCCTGGTGTACTCCTGGTCTACTCCTGTTGTACTCCTGGTCTACTCCTGGTCTACTCCTGGTCTACTCCTGGTCTACTCCTGGTCTACTCCTGGCTTAGTCCTGGCTTAGTCCTCTCCTGTCTTAGTCTGGTCTTAGTCCGGTTTTAGCCCCGGTCTAGCCCCGGTCTAGTCCCGGTCTAGTCCTGGTCCTGTGTGGAGATAGTGGTGTTTTCTGTGGTGTGACAGCGCTGGGCTCTTGTGAAATGACCCAGAGCAGGAAGTGCCTCAGCTCCTTTACCATGCTAATGTCCCATAGAGAATGAACGGAGCGTTGGTGGTTTCACTACAGTTTGAAGTCTGTGCTTTTGTTCAGCGCCTCCATCATTAACTCCGCACATGAGGCGGGTTTGATCTGGACCAGCTTCATTTCAGACACAATTTAAACAAAAAGAGCTCAACACTGGACTCACACTTCTGTTTGTGGAAGGGAAATTGACAAAAACATCAAATAAAAGCAGTCTAGGTAACATTTCTGATAATTGCTGTGTGTTTGCTTCTCTCAATGAAGATGTTGATGCTGTGCCTGGAATGTCCCACAGTATGACATTATCTCCATAGGGACAAGCAGATGGAGCCAGCGGGCACACGGGTCAGCTCTGTGGAGTGGCAGAATAAAACAGATGCTCTCTAGATACTTAAATTCCATTCTGTAGAACATTCCAGACAAAACAATAACATCTCCAATGAGTCAAGCACGCCACGAGAAAGATTCCACAATTAACCTTTAAATTTGTATCATTTTGTCCTAATGTTCTCGTCCTGTGTTTTTGTGTGGTGCCTTGACATGTTTGGGCTGCTCTGCTCCCTCAAAAGTGTCGATGTTGCCGTGATGTTTCTGGTGATCAGACTCTGTACAAACAGTCCAGTGTTGTGTATCTGACGCAGGTTGAAGTCTGTTTGGACACGTGTGTTTTTAAAGGACTCCAGGCTCTAACGTCACGTCGCTCACATCCTGTCAACACCACTCTTAATGTTTCTATCTTACGCAAAATGGATTCTTGTGAGTTTTGAGCCTTGTTAGAATGCTGATGAGGGCTGGTTTTCATTAAGAAGTTGCAGATACGATAAATACCTTGATACATAAGCCACGATACAACATGCTTTTTGATACAGTGCACTTGCGATTCGATACGATATATTTCAAATCGATTCTTTAAAGTTTAGTGAAAGACAAAGGCTAAATCATGGCTGTGATAATAAGTCCACGAAGTCTGTGCAAAGTTAAGATGATTAACACCCATTTTACTCAAAAGAAGTTGTCGATACGATACATACCTCGATCCATAGGCTACGATACGATACATACCTCAATACAGTGAGCTTACGATTCGATACGATTCAGTACGATTTATTTCACTCGATTCAATATGGTTCTGTGAAAAATAAAGGCTAAATTATGTCTGTGATACTAAAAATCTTTGTTAAATCACTTCATGTGCAAAGTTCATATGAAACACAAACATTTTAATCATCAAAACAGTGAAAATGTAAAAATGTCAAATATGTTACATAAACAAGTTTTCTTCCACTGAGCAAGCAACAAAACTATAGCACTGTAACAAAATAATGTAGTAAAATATATCAAAAATACTCTTGATGAGCTATCGATACAGCAACCCACGATATTGATACTGTATCATCAAATTAAATATAATATATGATATATTGATATTTCAATATTTTTGTACACTCCTAATACTTTATCAAAAAACCTACCCAGAGTTGTGTTTTGTTTCATTCACACATGTTTGAGTAACCCTGCATTATTTGTCTGTCTCTAAAGCTCTAAATGCTCTGTTCCACCTTATGATGTCATGCAGTAGTAGTTTTCAAATGAACGCTCCTTTTACCTTTAGTTCAGTAGATTGGCTATTCCAGGGCTGAAGTTATCCAAATGATTCTAGTGAAGGGGTGTGGAGTTTAAAAACACAATGGAGCACTTCCTATACCACATGTATTACCACATGACATCACAAGGTGGAACAGAGCATTTAGAGCTTTGGAGTGTTTTCAGTTTGAGAGAAGCCTAAATCTGCAGTTTGTGTGTGTTAAACATATGTGAATGAAACAAAACACAACTCCAGGTCTGTTTTTAATGAGGAAATTATAACTTAGGTGAGAAAATAGTGTAAGATGGGCTCTTTAACTTTCACCTCACCATCCCTTCATTTCCCACTCCTCTTTTCTCCCTCTCTCCTCTCTGTACTGATTCACCTCACTGTTTTTTAGTTATCGACAGGATTTTTAGCAGCTCTGGCCTCTGCTCCAAATCAGATTTTCCACCACAGCCATTGATCTTGTGTCCCTCCGAGCTCCTCTGGCACACACCAAAAACACCTCACCACACCAGCGCGGGCACAGCCACTGGAGAGGGCTTCAGTTAAAAGGTTTAGTGGAAAAATAGTAAGAATAAACAATCGCACAGTCATTCCTCCCTCAGAGACACTGGTTTATTTTAGGAAAGCCCAGTACACTTCTAACAGAGCCTCATTTGCATTAGAGTTTGATTGACAGATTAAAGGTGCCAACTTCGGTCACAAAGTCTAATATTAGAATTTTGACTGTTTTGGAAAAAGTAGAAGCTGCTGTGTAGTGTCCCTAATTGGACCAGACAGACATATTTTTGCCTGGATTCTAGAAAGAACTACAAATAAATGTGGAAATGAAAGTATTAAGGGATGACAGTGGCTCAGATGGTGGAGAGGACTTCTTATAATTGGAAGGTTGCCGGCTCCATCCCAGCTCCATAGAGTTGTTGTATGTTTGAACAAGACTTATGTAAATACAAATACATTATAGCTGTAGTTTTATTATTTTGCAAACATTTCCCCTAATTGTGATAGAATAACACTATAGAAATAGTTGTACTTACAAGAAAACTTTGACGAACATGACAACGTCTCTACTCAAGTACCTTTTAGTTCTTAAAGACGGGCTTTTTTACTTCTATGGAATATTAACATAGCATATTTAACTCACCATTTTATCTTTTTATTGTTTTGAAAAGGATGTATTTACCCCAAACAACATATTGACATGATTTATGAGGTTGAGTGCCCCCTCCCTTTGCTCCCCGTACTAAGTCACTCCCCCTTCGAAGCGCTATTACAACACAAACATCATGCATCTTGCGAATATTTGTTGTGTGGGAGAATGGGTTGTGGGCTGAGCCTTGTACAGAATCTTACATCTCACTGTACGGAGGGTTCGAATATAGATGTGAGAGATTGCTAATTACTCAGACATGCATGGAGGGCATCTAAAACCTCTTCAGGCATGTTTTTGTGCACATCCCCTTTTTAAAAACACTGCTCTTGTGTGTTTCCCTTCATGTTGAATACAGCGGGTGGTCACCTGTAAATCACACTTGTTCTTTTACCTTTTACTCTGCGCTCAGTCTCCAGTGACTCTCACACATTTGCACATATTTATCCTGGACCATTTCCTGTAATTATGAAACTCCACACCTCAGATTTAGTAAATTTCTTTTGGTGCAGTTTGTTCACAAAGGTGTGAAGCTGTGATCACACTTGGATCTGGACAATAACACACAAGTATGAGTCGTTCTATGGCAGAAGTTAGAGGCGATTATTCTTAGACTGGATCTCAGTAGTTGTATCACGACCAGTCTGTGGAAGTAAGTATAAAGTTGTAGTTGGACTAACGGTGCCCATGAGTCAGATGCAGGTTTACATGATGAGAGCAGCCGCTCGCCCTGCCCCTACCTGGCACCGCTGGTTGCCACCATGTCCCGCCGTGTCTGGAGTAAAGGGAAACGGCATGATCTGAGCGTAAATGTCCGCTCTGTTTTAAAGTCTGGAGTGCACCGGTCCACGCCGTGTTGGATTGTTGTGGCTGTCAGTCGGCTGTCAATCATCGCTCCAGAGCCCACCTCACACTTGCTCCCCTCATCCCGCCGGGCACTGCCCCGCACTTGCTCCCCCAAACCCGCCGGGCGCTGGAATTTTCAGATTTTGCTTATGGGCGGAGTTGAGCTTCGGGAGGGGGTTTAATGGCTTTTTAAGGGTGGGCAG